GCCCTTCCATCAGTGAGTGCATGCAGATCCTGGGGAGCAGCTGTGTGGCCCAGACCAGCAAGGCTGTAGGTGGATCCCAGCTGGGGCTCTACCCTAATCCCAGAGGATTGGGCACACCCACCCAAGCCAAAGGCCCACCCAGAAAGAGGCTGCACAGCCACACAGACTTCAACCAGAGGCTCTCCATACCATTGGCCAGAGCCAGGGACCCACCTGGAGAAGAGCTGTACAGGCACACAAGCAATACCCAGAGGCTTGGCCTGATACCATTGAAAAGTGCAAGAAGACCCTAGCCAAAACCTGTGCAGACAACAGAAACAGGGATGCACAGCCCCCAACCAAAGGCCCTCACAGACAATAGCTACATAGGCGCCCCAGCAAGAGGCACACCTAGATACCATACCAAGTGTGCTCAGGCCCCAGACAAAAGCTCACCCAGACAATTGATCAGTTCAGAGAACTAGAAAGAAGGCCACAACTCGGAACTCAGGAATTGCTGTATTGGTCAGCAGCAGAGTAAAGGCTGCTCAGTGGCTTGCTGAGAATTCAAGACCACTGGGTGAGCAAAAAGTTGCCTCAACAAAGACACAGCAGGCTGCATCTGTTGAAGTGAGAAGACATGTAAATAAGTCCCAAAACCACACTTGCAGATCACCTAAGGGAGCCCCAAAGGCCAATGAGATAGATAAATCTGATACTCAACAACACAGACTCCCTGAACTAGCAATGAAAGGGGAACTGGAAAAAATGAAATCAGAAATAATTTGTCAAATAACAGCAGAGATTGTGCCCATAGTATAAGATATGATGAATAAATCTAGAGCACTCCAGTGCCCAGGAGGCAGCTCCCAGGCTGCCATGGCACTGCTCCCAGTGCAGAGGAGTTGGGCCAACACCAGTACCCAAGTGGAGGCTCCTGGGCTGCCATAGCACTGCTCCCAGCACAGAGGAGGTGACCCACGCAGGTGCCAGCAGCACCCCCCACCCCCGTCAAAATGAGAACACATGTAAACAAGTCTCAAAACCAGATTTCCAGATCACCTAGAGCAACCCAAAGAAAAAGCAAATGGAACAATCTGATACTCAACCACCTGGACTTCCTGAACTGGCAACAAAAGAGGTTCTGGAAAAAAAATGAATCAAAAATAATTTATCAGATAACAGCAGAGATTGTGCTCATAGTGCAAGACATGACTAATAACTTCAGAGCAGACCCAGATAAAAAATAATGGAGCTGAGGAACATGATGGAATCCCAGCAGAGGAAACAAATCACATCTATAAAACAGATGCAAACAGATTTCCAGGAGATTAAAAACTCCATTGATAGTTTACACAACAGAGTGAGCCAATGTGAAGACAGAATTTCAGATATAGAAGATAAGATTGCCATTAGTGACCAGAAAAAGAAAAATTTCTTTAAAATTGTAGGGGACCACAAGAAATCAATCCAGCAGGTGCTAGACGATGCAAAGAAGAATAACA